TGGAGTGCGTCCCATGATCATCCCCTTTATTTTTTTCCCTTAGTTTCCCCCGTCAATGTTGTCTTTATTCAACATTTATTTATTTATTTATTTATTTATTTATTTATTTATTTAGAGACGGAATCTCACCATGACCACCCCCTTTATTTTTTCCCTTAGTTATACCCCTGTCAATGTTGTCTTTATTCAAATTTATTTACTTATTTATTTAGAGACAGGGTCTCACCCTATTTCCCAGGCTGGAGTGCAGTGGTGCAATCTCAGCTCACTGCAACCTCCGCCTCCTGGGTTCAAGTGATTCTCGTGCCTCAGCCTCCCCCAGTAGTTGGAATTACAGGCCTGCATTACCATGCTTGGTTAATTTTTTGTATTTTTAGTAAAGACGGGGTTTTGCCACGTTGCCCAGCCTGGTCTTGAAGTCCTGAGCTCAAGCAGTCTGCCTGCCTTGGCCTCCCAAAGTGCTTAGATTACAGGTGTGAGCCACTGTGCCAGGCCCCTTTCTTTAATTTAGATTGGCATTTATGTATACCATTTTCATTGTTCATCATTCTTTATTGTACCTCAGACTTTCCTTTGGGGATTTTCCTCCTTGAAACACATTCTTAAGAAGCCCGTAAATGTGCTTTATTTGGCTTGGAATGGAATTCTTTGTGTTTCCTGAATCTGAACATCTACGCATTTTAATTTGGGAAATTTTTCTACCATTCTCTCTTTAAATATTATCTTATCTATATTCTTTCTGTTCTCTTCTTCTGGAATTCCAAGTAGACATAATTAGACTTTAGTTCTTTTGTCTTTGTGTTTTAACTAGCATTTCATGTTTATATCTCTCTCTCCTGCATTCTGGGTAGTTTATGCCATGATAACTTATTTACCTCTGTCTTCTAGATTTATTATTTTCTTTTTAGCTATGTTTAATCTACATTTTAACGAGTCTAATGAGTTTTGAACTGTTGTTGATATTTATGATTTTTAGAAGGTCTTTTGTTTTCCCCATTCCAATATGCCTGGTCTTTGTTAGAGTCTCTCTCTCTTTTTTTTTTTTTTTTTAGATGGAGTTTCACTCTTGTTGCCCAGGCTGGACTGCAGTGGCACAATCTTGGCTCACTGCAACCTTTGTCTCCCAGGTTCAAGCAATTCTCCTGCCTCAGCCTCCTGAGTAACTGAGATTATAGGCGCCTGCCACCATGCTTGGCTAATTTTTACATTTTTAGTATAGATGGGGTTTCCACCAGGCTGGTGTCAAACTCCTGATCTCGAGTGATCAGTCCTCCTCGGCCTCCCAAAGTACTGGGATTACAGGCATGAGCCACCACATCTGGCCTAGGGTATCTTATTTGTTCATATTTTCTATTTTTAAATGTCTTATAATTTTCTCTATGGCATTGAAATTATCTTTTTAATGAAAAATACTATTCCATTACATTGATATATCTGCCTATATGTTTCCTTATTTCCTTGCTTTCAGCTTATTATAGTTTTTAGCTATAATATAGTTCAGCCACAAAAATCTTTTATACAGGAAGATCCCCAACCCCTAGTACTAAATCTCAATGAAATAATTAAAAATAGTAGTATTGAGTCATAGAGTTTGAATTATTCTTTTCTCATATTGCTGAATTTTTTAAAAGCAAAGTTACCAGTTTACATTGCTGCTTCCTCCCACTATTAGGTATTGCCATTTAATAGTATAACAACAGGAGTGCAAACTTCTGGAGTTGTATTGAACGGATTTCATTTCCTGCTTTTAAACATGTGACCTTGGACAAGTTAGTTAACCTCTATTTTAGTTCCTCATCTGTAATAGGATGGCTTTGAGGATTATATAAGTGGCAAATACTTGGTAGATAGTAAGACCTCAATAAATCTAGGCCATTATTTTAAGATATTTTTATTTGTGGTGGTTTTAATTTTTTATTTCTTCAGTGATGAATGAGACTGAGTATTTTCCTTCCTTTTTTTCTTTTTTGAGACGGAGTCTTGCTCTGTTGCCAGGCTGGAGTGCAGTGGCACGATCTCGGCTCACTGCAACTTCCACCTCCTGGGTTCAAGCAATTCTCCTGCCTCAGCCTCTCGAGTAGCTGGGACTATAGGTTCGTGCCACTACACCCAGATTTTTTTTTTTTTTTTTTTTGAGACTGAGCCTTGCTCTATGGCCCAGGCTGGAGTACAGTAGTATAATCTCAGCTCACTGCAACCTCAGCCTCCCAGGTTCAAGTGATTCCTGAGCCTCAGCCTCCCAAGCAGCTGGGATTATAGGTGTGTACCACCAAGATCAGCTAATTTCTGTATTTTTAGTAGAGGCGGGGTTTCACCATGTTGGCCAGGCTGGTCTTGAACTCTTGATCTCAGGTGATCCACCCACCTCAGCCTCCCAAAGTGCTGCAATTACAGGCATGAGCTACCTTGTCTAGCCTGATTATTGTAGTTTTAGTAGAGACAGGGTTTTACCACGTCAGCCTGGATGATCTCGATCCCTTGACTTCATGATCCACCAGCCTTGGCCTCCACAAAGTGTTGGGATTACAGGTGTGAGCCACCACGCCCGGCCTGAGACAGTATTTTCTGAAGTGTTTTGGTTTTCTGTTTATATTTTATCTCGTGAATTATCAAATATCTCCTTTTCTTAAAATGGAAGTTTCACTGCAGAAGCGAGTTAACATAATAACACCAAAAGCACAAGTGCTAAAAGATTAACAAGTTGAACTTTATCACAGCTTCAAAAGTGCACCATTTTTAACCCATAGAATGGGAAAAATATTTAAAAATCATAGCTGAGCCTGGCATGCAGTGGCTGACACCTGTAATCCTAGCACTTTGGGAGGCCAAGGCAGGTGAATCACATGAGGTCAGGAGTTCGAGACTAGCCTGGCCAACAGGGCGAAACCCTGTCTCTACTAAAATATAAAAATTAGCTGGCGTGATGGCACACGCCTGTCATCCCAGCTACTCAGGTGGCTGAGGCAGGAGAATCACTTGAACCTGGGAGACAGAGATTGCAGTGAGCTGAGATTGAGGCACTGCTCTCCAGCCTGGGTGACAGAGCAAGACTCTGTTTCAGTCAAGAACTCTAACAAATCAATTATAACAAGGCAAATAACCAAAACTTTTTTTTTTTGAAAACAGAGTCTTGCTCTGTTGCCCCTCTGGCAAGCAGTGGTGCAGTCATAGCTCATGGTAACCTTGAACCCTTGGGCTTAAGCAGTCTTGCTGCCTTAGCCTCCCAACTAGCCAGGACTATAGGCACATACCACAATGCTGGGCCAATTTCTAAAATTTTTTTTTTTTTTTTTTTTTTTTTTGAGACGGAGTTT